TTGGAAAAAAAGAAAAAAGAAAGAGAAAAAAAAAAAAAAGAAAAAGATAAAAACAAACAAAAACAGAACAAAACAAAAAAAATCAGAATATGATCAAATATGATCAGGCTGGTGCATAGATCAGTGCCACACACTAGATTTTGGATGTATTTTAGTCCGTTAGAAGAAAGTGCCTCCTAAAATTTTAAGGAAAGAAAGACTTAAATATGTACAAAATAAGGGTTGATACGATGAAGGGATGGAATATGAGTGTAAAGATGAAAATTATAAAAAGTTTTAAAAAACGAATTGATGTTTGAAAAAAGAAAAGAGGATTAAAAAAAAGGAAGGAAAGAAAGAAAAAAGGGGGAGAGAATGTGATCAGGCAGGAGAATAGAACAAAGCTATACACTAGAGATTTAGGGTATATTTTGATATGTTAGTAGAAACTGTATCTCAAAATTTTAAATAGAGAACCACTTATATATACATATCTGCCAAAAATAAGGGTAACTACTATGAAGGGATAGAATATGACTCTGAAAATGCAAAATAAAAATGTTTTAAAAAAAGTGATAAGATGTTGGTTAAAAAAGGGAAAAAAATTAAAAAAAAAAAGTTAAAAAAATTAACTTTTAAAGACTAATGAATCATGGTAAAAAAAAGCCATGAATTCTATGTGCAGTATTCCGCTAGTGCTGGAGTTCTGCCGTTCTCATTGATCGGTAAACTTGGTCTTGGCTGGCTGTTCGTGCTGATCTTCTGGGGGGAGGGGCCTGTTGCCCTGGTTCCCAAATGTCTTTGTCGGAGACAGAATTGCCCCGCCCTTGCCGGGTCGGGCTAAGCAATCTTCTCGGGTTTGCTTTTGGGAGCTGTTGTTCCTGCAACCTTTCTGTACAGCGTTGGAGGACGACAGTGAAAATGGCGGCCTCCCAATCTCTACCCCGGAGGAGCCGAGAACTCAGGGTCCCGCTCCTCAGTGCGCCCCCAGAGAAAAGCAGTCAATCTCTCTCCCATCTCCCTGGTCTCCGGCTGCACTCCATGCTCACCTGGCCTGTGACCGAGGGTTTCCATCTTTGGCACCAGACCCCGTGTGGAGTCCCCAAACCGAGCAGATCCCTGTGGTTCGCTCTCGTGCTGCTCCTCCCAGGGCAAGAAGGGGATTTTCCCCGATTCTGCCGCTGGCTTCCCTGCTCTGATACCTGGGAGCTCTGCCACTCTCAGGCTTCCCTGGTCTTTCTGTGACCCCGAGGGTCCTGAGACCACACTGTCCCAGAGAGGTTCCCACCACCCCCCCTTAGCCACTGGAGTGACGTCCCTCAGCCGAGCCGACTTCTAAAAGTTCTGATTTTGTGCTCCGCGGCTCTATCACTTGCTCATAGCGGCTGACGGAGGCCCCCTCCCCCTGCCGTCTATCTTCCTGAATATCGCCTCGGATTCACTTCTCCGCATGTCCTGCCTTCCAGAAAGTGGTCTCTTTTCTGTTCATAGAATTGTTGCTATTCTTTTTTTCAATCTGTCAAATTTGAGGTGTTCAGAATGGTTTCATAACTATCTAGTTGAATTCCTCGGACCAGACGAAATTTAGGTCTCTTGCTCCTCTGCCATCTTGCTCCTCCCCACTGGTCTTTTTAATTTTTAAGTTTAAGCAATTGCTTTCCTACAGTGTAAGCTACATGAAAACAGGGACTTTAGCTTGATCACTGCTGTGTTCTTAGTGCCTACTACAAGGTTGGGCACATATTAGCACTCAATATTTGTTGGATGAAGATATGATGGTATCTGTTTGGAAGTAAATGATTGTTTTTGGCTGCATGGTTTTTTTGTTTTGGTTTTTCCTTTTTTTTTTGCGAGTTTAGCAAACCAGTTCAACCCAGTTTAAATAATAAACTGTCATTTTGCCTAACAGAGTGCCTTGGATTAGAGTGGGTTTCCTGGTCAGTGATAGGTGCTGTTAGCCATCTAGTCAGCGGCCCTTGGTCTAGTCCCCTCTAGTCAGCAGTGAGCAGCATGCATGTCCAGTGGAAAAAATGGGAGAGACTGCATTTCTGTTTCTAGTTTACCTGAGTGTGTGGGAGAAAAATGGGGAAAGATGAAAAACTTATTAACTTTCTTAGAGAGGACAGACAGCATGAGTTGGCGGAAATCACAAGGACATTAAGAACCTTGAGTACGAGATTTTGGAGATGCTGGAGTATAGGATGAACCAAGCTTATGTAGCTCTTCTTGTAAAGGTTTGGAGAATGGTGAGAATTTAGTCATACTTAGACATGGGAAAAATTAAAGGTTGGGGGGAGGGCTGATTTGTTCTTTTCAGGTGCCCACTTGGGCTTTTCCTCCTTTTTGCTAACCATCCACCTGTTAAAGAGAGTACCTAAAAATGCTAAAGTAGAAAACAAAAATGGTCCACATAAAATCTCCAAGTAAGATCTATTTTTTTAAAAGATTTTATTTATCTATTTGAGAGAGAGACACAGAGAGCACAAGTAGGGGGAGGGGCAGAGGCAAAGGGTCCCACTGTTGGGGGGAGCCTGACTTGGGGCTTGATTCCAGGACCCCAAAATCAAGACCTCAGCCGAAGTCAGATGCTTAACTGACTGAGCCACCCAGGTGCCCTTATTTTTTTTAATTAAAAAAAAAAGTAATCTTTATGCCCCCCTCAAAAAACATAATCTCTGTTCTCAACATGGGGCTCAAACTCACAACACCAGGATCAAGTATTACATGTTTTCTCAACTGAGGCAGCCAGGGGCCCCTAAAATCTGTTGATTAAAGAAAAAAGGCATAATACATGCAAGTTGTTAAAAATTTTAAGTATTAATATAAAGAAAGGTATAATAGGACTGAATAGGCACTTTTTTTTTTTTTGAAAGATTTATTTATTTTAAAGAGCATTCTTGCATGCGAAGGGTGGGTGGTGGGGCAGAGAGAGAGGGAGAGTTAGTATCAAGCAGACAAGCAGACTCCTCACTGAGTGTGGAGCCTGGTGCGGGGCTCCATCTCACAACCCCGAGCTCACTCAGCCGAAACCAAGCACCGTGCCATCCAGGTGCCCCTAGTCACTTTCTTTTCTGATACATACACAGCATTGCCTTCTTTCTCGCCTCAAAGATATATGTGGTTAACAGTTTCTGTGATTCCTTCCCCAAAACAATTGTGCAGGTATCAGCACACACTGTTCTACGTCCTTTTTCATATCTGCATAATGATCTGTCATGTGTGGGGGCACCCTTTGAACCATCTTCTGATGTGGGTCACTTTGGTTGGAGCTAGTGTTTTGCAATATAAGCAACATTGCCATGAATATACAGATTTGTTGGTAGACCTCTGCACATGTATCAATGAGGTTTAATCCTAGTAATGGTGAAATCTCTGGGTCAGAGTTTATGAACATTTAAAATTTTGATAGATGTCAAATCCTTCTCCCAGAAGCGTTCAACAGTTTTCATTCCTGCCATCATGCTTACTCCTTTCTGGGTATCATAGTTTTTTTCATTTGTGCCTATCTGATAGGTAATATTGTTAACTTGTGTTTTGAATTTTGTGTGTTGAATTGAGAGAGAAATTGAATATCTTAACAAATTTATTGCCCATTAATGTTTGTTTTCTTGTGAACTGCCAGGTGATTGTCATTTCTGGTATATGTGAGCTTTACTTGAAGGAAATTAGCTCATTGTTGCCATATAGTTGTAAATGTTTTTCTTAATCTTTTTTTGATTTTTTTGCCACTCAGATTTTTATTTTTATGGAGTTAAATTTATCACACTCTTTCTTGACTTCTGGTATTCTGCTCTGACTGGCCACTTGGCCTGTTGACACCAGTGCACATATGACTGGGCTGTGTGAATTCGACTGGGCACACTAGGTATAAAGCTGAGGCAGTGGACCCCAGAGCCCCAGGACGCTGGTCATATTAGGAGAAGCCACAAATCCTTGACAGAGCTAAATCTTAGTGTTCCTGGGCTGCTTTATGTCTGTTGAGTGGTGTTAGATTTAGTAAGGTGGGCAGAGTGTTGAGCCCAAAGCCTAGAGTGGGAGGTGGGGGGAGGTGGGGGGTGGGGGGAGGGGTTGTATTGGCCCTACTGAGGAGGTATTAGGTAAATGCCAGATGGCCAATGAGGTAAAATGACTTTGTTGTCTTCCTCAGCTGACACAGAGATCAGGAGGGAGAGTTAGACCAGATGGCTGTGATTTTTGTGATACAAGAACTATGTGAACTAAAACCTTTGGAATTTCCTGAGATAGAGGTTCTAGGAGTATCTTGTTATTCATAATGAGCCCCTTTCAACCATATGTGTTTATGCTGGTGAGGTGACTCTTGCTGGGCCCCTAGATAACTTTAGGGTGGGGCTGATTGCCAGGGAAATCAGCCTTGTGATTAGAAGGTTAGAACTTTCAGCCCCATCCCTGGACCTGCAGGGATGGGGAGAGGCTGGGGATTAAGTTCAGTCACCAGTGGTCAGTAATGTAATCAATCACACCTACCTAATGTAACTTCCTTAAAACCCCTAAAGCCAGGGTTTTAAGAGCTTCTGGGTTAATGATCACATAGAGGTGCTGGGAGGGGGCGGGTGTGCCAAGAGAAGGCCTGAAAGACTTATTGTTGCTCTGTGCATCTCTTCCATCTGGCTTTTCCTGAGTTGTATGCTTTATAAGAAATAGGACATGGTAAGTAAAATGCTTTCTTGAGTTCTGTGAGCCATTCTGGCAAAATTATCAAATTTGAGGAGAGGTTGTGGGAACCCCCAATTTGTAGGTCAGAAATATTGGAGGCTCAGAACTTGTTTCTAAAGTGGGAGCATTCTTGTGGAACTGAACCCTTAACTGATGCTAATTCCAGGTCAGAATAGAGTTGAATCAGTAGACATCTATTTGTTGTCCTGAGATTTGGAGAATTGGTTGTTAATGTGGAAAGACCCCACATGTTTGGTGTCAGAACTGTTGTGAGTGAAAAACAGCTTGTATGGGCCATTCTCTTTTCAGGGTATAACTTGGAACCTGGCTGTTTCTTTTATAGGTGGAAAAATGGCGTTTGTGAAGAGTGGATGGTTGCTGCGACAGAGTAAGTACAGAACATGAGCCTCTTGGACTGTGTTTAGTGTTGCCTTAGGGTTCATGTTTATTTCTATTGCTGAAACAGATCACGTTTAAAAACAAATGTCAAAGTCTTATTAATGTGCTTGCTCTGGATTTTCTCTGGGAAATTTTTAGAGCTCTGTGAACTGTGTTTCTGCCTACCAGAGTTCCTTCTTAGTTGCTGCCTTGACAGAAACCAGGGAATCATGGTAGTCCCTGCTGGTTTCTCTTTTTCTCACTAGTGTGCCCTATTACTCATAGCTGACCTGAGTACCTGCTTGAATCTAACCAAGCTGAACTCTGATATATTAGCATGGAGGTACTGCTGTCTCTGTGGGAAATACCTGTCTTACTTGGGGATTGAACAGTGACTAAGATTCTGAAATACTGGAGACTTTAATTTATAGAGATGAAGATTTGACTTGAAGGAATGGGTTTATCTAAAACTAGTCTTTTGGATCTCCAAAAGGACTCTGCAGAAGAGAATCAGTTTTGTTTTTTTTTAAGATTTTATTTATTTGAGAGAGGCAGAGAGAGAGAGTGTGTGAGCATGAGAGAGAGCGAGAACGCATGAGCAGTGGGGATGGGCATAGGGAGAGGGAGAAACAGACTCCCTGCTGAGCAGGGAACCTGATGCAGGACTCGATCCCAGGATTCTGGGGTCATGACCTGGGCCAAAGGCAGACGCTTAACCAACTGAGCCACCCAGGCCCCCAGATTCATGGTGTGTTCTAAAGCAGGAATAACCAACTCTGTTCATTAGAGAAAAAGTAAACATTATTCTGCTGTCCTAGAAAGAGCAGAGTTAAGGGAAAAGTGAGTACTATATCATTTATGACTCTAGCAAAAAACTGAGCTATAGTTTATACTGTTTATTATTCAGATACAAATTTCTGTTGGGATACCTTCAGAACTTAGCTAAAATTGAGACTAGCAGTGAAGAATGGACTGCATACCTTAGATGGTTTATAAAAACTATTATTTATGAAGGTTGTTTGTGACCCTGTTACATGGATTTTACATATATTATGTACTTATCACAGCAGCTCTGTGAGGTAGGTGGCATTATCCTGGTTTCTAGTTGAAGAAATTGAGTTTTAGTGATATTAGGTAACTTAACACTGTGGGTGGCAAACCTGTATTCAGATTCAGGACTGTGTCATTTCAGCATTGACACACTTTCTACCAGGACACAAGCCTTCAGCTTATTTGTCCTGTCACTAGTTATACATTCCCAGACCTGGAGCTGAACCAGGTGTCCTTTCAAGGTCTGTGACAGTTTTGTATTCTAAGAATAGATAGAGCAATGTTGCTTTAAAAAGAAAGTTCTGGCATATTGGAGCCTAGCCCCAATCTTTGTGTAAGTTTTTTTGTTTTGGGTTTTGTGATCCCATCCTTCCCTAAATTGTCAGGGGATGCAGAGAGCCTTGTTTGGACCTTGAGGCTGTACCTTCCTTTCCTGGCCCTTTGGATATCCTCTGGTTTTCTCTTTAGGCTTTGCTGTGTCCTTGTTTGAGGACAAGCTTTCCTTTCTTCACCATGACTCAATGTAAATGTTCTGTCAACATAAGTGAACAGTGACCATTTTGACTTTTTGGCCCCTCTCCCAGTCAATGCCTAGCGTGATGACGTACACAAAATAGATGTCTTTTAAATAAGTTGTACAGACTTTTCTGGTGTCCTGGTCCATGGCAGTCTTGAAGTGTATATTCAGAAGACTTATTCCATTTTCCTTTGCAAAAATCAGAACTATCAATCATAATAAAATAAGATGAGGTGACTTGTATTATATTCACTGGGTAGCAGAGGTACACAGATGGTTACATGTATGCAAAGCTGTCTGGAGGATTCCTTTTATTGCCATTGCCACACAGACCCTTAGGACTATGGAGGACAGCCTAATTTGGGAATCTGCAGTCAGGGCTTTGGTGGCAGGTGAGATACTTGGGTAGAACTCCCTAATCCGGTGATTCCACCTATGGTCTGGGTGGCTCTATTTGTTAGTTTCTGTACAGCTCAGGGGCTGTCAATCAAGTGGATGCTGATGTCACTTATTTATCAGTTTGGGACACTGCTGTGGATGCCCCTCTTAGCAAGGAGGGTGTCTGATAGTGGTAAAAGAAATTTGGAGGGCTGATATGGTGCATATTTAGTTCACACCAGTAATGGCTATGAGAGCATAAGGAGAGGTACATGGAACGGGATTTGTGCACGATGGCCAACAAGGGTGGGATCTACAGGAACAAAGGATGTAGTAGGTAGTGTCTGGGTGTGAGGAAGGAGCAGGGGTGACTGACTTGGCCTTTTAGTTTTCCTTTTTGGCTAATAGGGAAATTTGAGTTTCATCAAGTTAAGTGCCTAGTCCAAGATTACAAATGTTAGGATGAATTCCTTAAGCTGATAGGGACGTATGAGGTAGCAGGACAGATGCGCACAGGATGGGAGTCAGTGTCCTGGCTGTAGGTACACCCAGTGTCCGAACCTGCTTCTGTGTCTGTTTGAAGCAGGAAGACCCTCCCATACCATGGGCTTTAAGGGAAGGTGAATGTTAGAGAAGAATATATGTGAAAGCTCTTCGAGAAAAAAAAACATGTTTTTTTCATGTTTCATGTTAATATGTTTCATATTATTGTTTTTTGTATATAGAGACTTCACAGTCCAGTGTTCTCTGATCAGTTTAGCAAAGTTAAATACTCCTGGGAAAGTGTAGATATACTACATGGAAAATTAAATATTAAATGTTCCATTAGCTTAAAATGAGGATTTGGGGTTTTTTTGTTTTTTTTTAAATTTTATTTGAATATAGTTGACATAATGTTACATTAGTTTCAGGTGTACAACTCTTGTTATGCTATGCTCACCACAAGCGTAGCTACCATCTGTTTCCATACATCACTGTTACAGTATCATTGACTGTATTCTTTATAGCAGTGCTTTTTATTCCCATGACTTACTTCATAACTGGAAGCCTCTGTCTCCCACTACCCTTCCTCTGTTTTGCCCATCCTCCCATCCCTTTCCCATCTGGCAACCATCAGTTTGTTCTCTGTATTTATGTGTCGTTTCTGCTTTTAATGTTTGTTTATTCATTTGTTTGGTTTTTTTTTTAGATTCCACATTGAGTGGAATAATATGGTATTTGTCTTTCTCAGTCTGATTTATTTCACTTAGTATAATACTTTCTCAGTCCATCCATGTCATCACAAATGGCACAGTCTCATCCTTTTTTATGACTGCATAATATTTCATTGTATATAACCATCACATCTTCCTTATCCATCTGTCTATTGATGGATACTTAGCAACTTAGGTTGCTTCCATATCTTGGCTATTGTAAATAATGCTGCAATAAACATGGTGCCTATATGTTTTTGAATTAGTGTTTTTGTTGTCTTTGGGTAAATAGTAGTAGAATTATTGGACCATATGGTATTTCTGTTCTTAATTTTTTGGGGAACATCCATACTGTTTTCCACAGTGGCTGTACCAGTTAACATTCCCACCAACATGAGGGTTCTTTTTTCCTCTACATCCTCACCAACACTTCTTATCAAAATCAAGGTTTTATTGAACTTTAAAAAAAAATTTCGGACTATTAAGTTGGCAGCATTCTTAGTATCTTTAGTGTAAGGTGCATTTACAGCATGGGTGTTTGTGCCATTGGAGTCTGATTTCATCTCCATTTTGATGTAGTGCTCTGGGCAGCTGTATGCGTGTGTACTTATGGGGCCAGAGAAAAGTTTCCTTCGTTTCAGGTACCTGTGAGCTAGAGGATAAAGTCCTTGCTTTTTTTTGGCTCAAAGCCAACCTTTCCATTTTTTTCAGGTACTATTTTGAAGCGTTGGAAGAAGAATTGGTTTGACCTGTGGTCAGATGGTCACCTGATCTATTATGATGACCAAACTCGGCAGAGTGTCGAGGATAAGGTCCATATGCCAGTGGACTGCATCAATATCCGCACCGGGCACGAGTGTCGGGGTAAGTGAGTCAGTTGTGGCCAGCTTCTGTCCTCTACCCTTCCCCATTCTTGGTGGGAGTTGAATCATTTTCCTTACTCATTTTGCTTTCATTGACAGACCAAAGAAGGGTTTCATCTTTCACCAAAGAAGGGAGGTAAACACAGTGGGCACCCAGACACTTGGATCATGAATCATATGATTGGGGCAGATTAATTTTCTCATCTGAATCAGACCCAGCAGTCCACATTCCTTGCTCTGTCATGGAGAAAGTGGTGGAGAATAACCAGAGTGCTGGGATCCCCAAGAAAGATGGAACCATCCTAGGTAGTATAGGTTTTGTTGCTCAGAAATAGGCATCTTATTGATTACACCACCAGTCAGTTACTTAAAAATCCATGATGCCTTGGTTTCCTGAGTTATTCCTTATATTCATTTTAAAGGAATACATTTTTTTTTAAGATTTTATTTATTTATTCATGAGAGACAGAGAGAGAAAGAGAGAGAGAGAGAGGCAGAGGGAGAAGCAGGCTCCCAAGGAGCAGGGAGCCCGATGCGGGACTCAATCCCAGGACCCTGGGATCATGACCTGAGCCGAAGGCAGACGCTTAACCATCTGAGCCACCCAGGCGCCCCTAAAGGAATACATTTTTAATAAGTATAGACTTTTCTATATCTTATTAAGGGCATATGTAGACTTCCCTGTTTATTAGCTCTGTTTCTATTTGGAATAGAGTCTGTTTTAGTAAACATTGATGTTTGAAACATCCTGCTCCTATATAATAGTTTTTGAATTAAAGAGTTACGAATGGCCTATATGCTTGTAGTAACCATTGTTGTTGTAACATCTTGCCCCCTGCATGTTAGTTCTTGAAACACAAGTGTCCATGGACTAGCTGTTGAAATATCTACCTAAACCAGGCTCAAATATCACAGACCTTATTTCTTGGTACACAGAGCTACTTTAAAGTATGATTTTCACTTTTCAAGCAGTGATCCAGTTTAGTATTTCCTGTGAATAAAAACAATAAATATTCTATTATCAGAGGCTCATTAACACTTTTCATTGTTTGTGCTTATTCTTCTAATATCTGGGCTGTTTTATACATCTCCATATATGGATCGCCCTCTTAGAAGAGGCCTGCTTGTTCTTCCTGCAGGAAGTTTGTTTATTTATTTAAAGATTTTATTTATTTGAGAGAGGGAGGGAGATAGCACACGAGTGGGTGGAGGGTTAGAGGGAGAAGCAGACTCCCCGCTGAGCAGGGAGCCTGATGTGGGGCTCCATCCCGGGACCCTGAGAACATGACCCAGGCTGAAGGCAGATGCTTAACCGACCGAGCCACCCAGGCGCCCCTCCTGCAGAAAGTTTAGTTGTAATTCATGTGCTTGGTTCTGTAGAGCAGGACAAAGATGTTTTGTTATTGGAATGTTCTGAAATACTCGTCCTTTGCTTATCTGAGCTGTTAGGTAAGAATAAAGCCTTTAAAAAGAACTATATAAATATTGGCTTATTCTGCTTATTTTTCACAGATATTCAGCCTCCAGATGGGAAGCCAAAAGACTGTATGCTGCAGGTTGTTTGCCGAGATGGGAAAACTATCAGTCTTTGTGCAGAAAGCACAGATGATTGTTTGTAAGTTTTGGGTTTTTATGTGTTTAATTTAAAAAATGTTGTGTTTTAATTTCCAGTTATCAGGAAGGGAGTAGAATGAGAATGGCGTTTTCCTTCAGGCAGCAGAATAAGTGACTTAGAGGATGTGTGAAACAAATGTAACAGGGCCTTATTCCATGCCTAATAACTCTCGTCCTAGTTTCTGCTTCTCCAGAGCTGTGCAGGCGAGATCCCATTATAGTGGGAATGACAAAGTATTAGTATATAGCCACTTCGCACTTTTTCATTACTAGAAGTACATTGGGTAATGGGCGTAGTTGAATGGGTTCTTAAATCTTGTTCTTTTTATGTAAATATCTTTTTAAAAAGCACTGACATCTCTATTATATAGTCTTTTCCTTCCTTTGGTGGTTCTTGCTCTATCTGCCTTCTCTGAAAAGATGCAGAGCTGCAAGGAAGAAAACCCAGCTTTATCAGTTCTCAGCCTGTTAACATTGGCAGTGAAGTTGGATCAGAATCTTGAAAACACTGATTAAATACAATTTGGGGGTGAGGGGGTGCCTAGGTGGCTCCGTCGGTTAAGCATCAGGCTCTTGATTTCAGCTCAGGTCATGATCTCAGGGTCATGAGATTGAGCCCTGCGTTGGGCTCCACGTTGGGTGTGGAGCCTGCTTAAGATTCTCTCTCTCTCTCTCTCCCTCCCCCTCTCCCCCCCCCCCCGCACAAGCACACGCACACTCCCTCTCTCTCTCTCTCTCTCTCAAAAAAAAAAAAAGAATTTGGGGGGAAGAATTTTATTTTTTTCCTGGCCACTCTGTACCACTCTTATTAGTTAACTCTGGACATTGTAAGAATTCACTAACAGATTATTGTAATATTCATTTATATTAAAATATTTATATGTAGGTGACTATTTTCATACAATCCAGACCAGTTTGTCAGAGTGCCTGCTCTGCATTTCACATATATGTTCATTTTAAATATAAACATTTATTTCATGCTAAACTCACAGAATTAATTTTAAATCCCATATATAGCTGCTTTTTTACACTCTTCTGATTCATATCAGTGAATCTTAAATGATACTTTCTGGAAGAGATATAGCTTTCCTATAGACTGATGGAGAAATGACCACACGTAAAGCCAGTTTGCTACTTTTTAATAAACTGGACTTATGTTATTACTACTTAACAATATAAACATGTATATTGAACACTTACTTGGCACTGGGCATTATGCTAACTGCTTTATATATGTTATTTAATCCTCAACGTATCTTGTAGGTGCTGTTCTTGTTATAAGAAACTAGTAGCTTCCTGTATCACTTTTTTTCTTTTTTTAAAGATTCTGTTTATTTGACAGAGAGAAGGAGAGAGAAAGAGCTCAAGTAGATGGAGTGGCAGAGGGTGAGGGTGAAGGAGCCTTCCTGCCTGCTGAGCAGGGAGCCTGACGCGGGGCTTGATCTCAGGACCCTGAGATCATGACCTGAGTCGAAGGCAGACGCTTAACCAACTGAGCCACTGAGGCACCCCCCATATCACTTTTTTAATGTTCCTATAATAAATTACCCTGAGCTTAGTGGCCTCAAACAATACAAATTTATGATTGCATTTCTGAAGGTCAGGAGTCCAACACTGGGTCTTATAGTATTGGCAGGCTCTAGGGGAGAGTCTGCTTGTCTTTTAAGTTTCTAAAGGCTTCCTGGTTTCTTGGCTTCTGGGCCTTACCCTTTTCTTGTGGTCTTTTTGGTTCTCTGCAGGTGGGGAAGGTTATATGCTTTTAAGCACTTAATGAATAGTTTGGGCCAACCTGGATAATCCAGGGTAGTCTCCGCATCTCAAGGTTCTTAACCTTAATTACAGCCGTAGAGTCCCTTTTGCCCTGTGAGTTAACATTCACAGGTTTTCGGGATTAGGATGTAGACATCATTCTGCCTACCACACTTCCCAAGATTTTAGAGCTAATAGACTAGACTCAGGATTTGAACCTTTGTCTCCAGAGACCTTTGTTCTTAACTGCTCTGTTCTACTATACACTGAGGTGTTACATGGAGTGTTTTTTTAAGTAGTGGCAAAAATACCTGGAACTAGCAGTAATTAGACCGACGATGTTTATGATCTCATAAATGTGAACTGGTTAAATTCCCCTAAAAAGAATAAGATCTGAGATTGGGTAAAAAATGCAAAGTCTAACTATATAGTCTGTTAACAAGAAACACATTTGAAATAAAATGACTCAGAAAGGTAAAAAAGTAAATAGGAGACTCTTAGTTTCAGGAGACTGTTAGTTTCCTATGGCTACCACAAACTAGGTGCCTTAAAACAACAAATGTTTTCTCTCACAGTTCTGGAAGCTAGGAGTCTGAGCTCAGCGTATCAGCAGAGCCTTGCTCCCTCTGAGACTCCTGAGTAGAATCCTTCCTTGCCTTTTCCTAGTTTGGGTTGTGGCCATTGATCCTTGGTGTTCTTTGGCTTGCCACTGCGTCAGTCCAATCTCTGCCTCTGTTGTAACAAGACATTCTCCCTGTGTGTCTGTATCCAGATGTTCTCTTATAAGGACACCAACTGTATTAGAGTAAGGATCTGCATTAATTCAGTATCATCTTGAGTCCATCTGTAAAGACCGACCAACCCACCTTCCTTCCTTCCTTTCTTTTTCTTCTCTTTTCTTTAAGATTTATTTATTTATTTTAGAGAGAGAGCACACATGTGCCTGGGAAGGGGCAGAGGGAGAGGGAGAGAGTGTCTTAAGCAGACTCCTTGCTGAGCACAGGGCCCTATGTGGAGTTGATCTCATGACCCTGAGATCACAACCTGAGCTGAACACTTAACTGACTGCACCACTGAGGCGCCCCAAAACCTTATTTCTAAATAAGTCAAAGGTACTGAGGATTAGGACTTCAACTTTTTTTTTTTTTTAAGATTTTATTTATTTATTTGAGAGAGAGAGAATGAGAGAGAGAGCACATAAGAGGGGGAAGGGTCAGAGGGAGAAGCAGACTCCCTGCTGAGCAGGGAGCCTGATGCGGGACTCGATCCTGAGACTCCAGGATCATGACCTGAGCCGAAAGCAGTCGCTTAACCAACTGAGCCACCCAGGCGCCCTCAACTTATTTTTTTGGCAGAGGACAGAATTCAACCCATAACTGAGACCTTTGAGTAAAAATGGTGAAATGAAGGGGAAACCTTTTAGCAGTAACAGCCAAATAAAGAAGTTCAGCTTTAAGCACCAACTACAAAGACTGATGGCCAAAGAAATAGAAGATTTTGTTGAGATGTTTCATTGTTTTTACCTCCAACTCCCAGAAGTAGTAACAAGAGGAGTTAACTTAAGTCTTGCAAATTTTCAGTAATACTCTGCAGTCTGGAAGGATGTTGACTAAAGGAGTAGGGTACTTTTTGGGAAAGCTAAGGAAGAACCCTTGAGAATATGATACCCTTTGGACCTCAGTGGAGAGTGGAAGGTTCCCACCAGGATTTGTCATTCCAGAGCCACTGGAAGACTTCAGAGCTCACAGGAGTAGAATAATTCTGTGGCTGATGAACTAAGTCCTAGCATGAGACATTCAAAAGAATATGCTCAGAAGAGTGTAGAAGCCAGATTTTTCCGAAAGGACTTACTGCCACAAGAAATTTTCTTTTCTCTCACCATTATTCTCTTTGATTACAGAAAAATGATTGAGGGTAACACCTAGTCTGTTGCTGGGGTGGAGTGAGGTAGGGCTACCAATAGATGTCAGATTAAGTAGGAAGGGTGTCAAGAAGAAATAACACATACTATATGAGAGCAAATAGAATTTTTAGGTATCATTTCCTATGTTAAACATGAGCAGGATGCAAAGAAATGGTGTGCCAAATATACTGTAAAGGAAAAATAAGAAGGAAAATGCAATAAGCCTCAGAAAAAGCTCCTCATTTGTAGGAAAATAAAACCCACAAAACAGAATCGAGTTTTCCAAGAATGCTTTCCTGGCTACCATATTTAAAATTATAATCCCCCCTTGCATCATACATATACACACATACTTACAATCTAATTAGCTATTTGTTTACCTTGTTTGTCTCTTTTTATTTTAAAATATAAACTGCACAAGAGAGGGAATTCATGTTTCTTCTGTGCCCTTTAGCATCTGTGTAGCCAAGAAAGTCCGTCATAGGGTATATCTGCCATTCATTTTATAATCTAATTTAAATCTTGGCTCCCTTCCCTGGCATACAAGCCCAACTAAAAAATGAATCACTGACATGAAGGAAAGACTTGAGTGTACTCTCAGGGAAAGTAGGGGGAAAAGATTAAAGAATTTAGAAAAAAGATCAGAATTATGTTAGAAGGACTGAAAGAGTTTATCAGGAAGATTATTGATCAATTGTCTGCAAAGTACAGAACCCAAGAAGGTAGTTAGAAATTCAGTGCAAGAAAAACTTTCTGACATACTAGAACTGAATTAGGCCAAAGTCCATAATAGACTCTCCTACCTGACAATATTAAATCCAGATACAATATATGAACAATCCAATAGGATACTCTTTAGCAAAATGAATGATGGTAGTGAACTGCTTATAAATCTGTTGGGGGAATTTTGTAACTTCATTGCATCCATTAGAAAACCAGAATGTTTGAAAGTAGCTTAGCTTGAAAATAGCTTAGCAAGGCTTTTAACTCAAGGAGGTAGTGAAATGATAATAAAACAGAAAAGGAACTGGTGTAGAAAAGAGCAGAAGGATAGCGTCATTAAGAAAGGTGAGGGGATGAGGGAGGGAGAACAAAATTTGTGAGATTTAAGATTTAGGTATCTAGTTTTTGTGACCATATATGGGCAGTTAGTAGGAATAGAATTTGTTACAACTTTTCCCAGGGTCATTTAGCAGTGTCCACTGAAATATGTTTATATTTCTTGACCTAGTAGTTTGACTCTTTGGAATTTGTCCTATAGAAATGTTTACATAAGGGTACAAAAGTAATAAGGGTGTTTGTTTTAATAATAGCATAGTTCTCATGTATGACCAATCCACAGCTAACAT